TATAACCTGACAAAATAGTAGACTTCTACAATTACATCTAACCGTAAAACTTCCTGAGTCCACCACCACCGTCTGCCTTTCCCCATTGTGTGTTGAATGGCAGCCTTTTGATTGCCCGCTTCCCCCTTCTTGAAAATTGTATCATTGTATATTCAATAAAGGGAAGTAAAATTAAAAAAAGGATAGAAAGATAAAAAGAAGATTACGTTGGTTGGGGAAGTGTTATGCAAGTCACTAAATAGGTTGCCGCGGCGAGCAATGTTTGTCAACATTCCAAAATTTCTACTGTCCTATCCAAATGGGCAGCCTAAATACAGCGATTTGATCGCTGCACCTAGATGCTTGGTTCATGGTTGTAGAAACTCAAGCTGAACTGACGGTAATGAAAGATATTGCAGAGAACCAACTGCAGTGATGCTGTTTGAGAATTAGGGCCCAGGATGCTTGATAAATGTATGAACACAGTTTGACTTTGTGCTTTGCGTGCTGTCCCTTCCTTCCGTGCTGTTCCCTCCCTTCCTTCAAACCATCCTTACCCCCTTACAATGACACACTTGTTTACTTAGCGTGGCAGCGATCTACGAAGTTCGCTCTACTTTAACATCACTATATAACGATGGTGTATTTAATTAGGTGAGTTAAGATTTTACTGTTCGTTCTCATGGGGAAGTTTATTTCGTTAGTGCTGACGGAACGGTTTGAAATCCTTGAGCAGATAAACAAGACCGATGGGTGGTGATGCTTCCTGCGTGATATACATTAACCAATGCTCTAGCAGCGTTGCTGTGTAGCATAATCAATTGCACGATTGGTTGGCAGACAAGCCAGAAAACCGCCTAATTGGTAGGCTTTAGTCACCAGAAAGAGGCATGGGAGCTCAAACGGGACTGGCTAAATATTAAAAAACGCTCCAGAAATAAAAACTATTAGTGGGACAGGGCATTAATTAATGTATAGCGTACTGAATACGCACTTGTCTGTTTCTAACAGTGTATCGTGTTGCATCGGTCGTTGCGTAGATTAATCGGAACCTCGCTGTTATTTTCCTAGGATGGGATGGTTAGTGATAAGTGGGTTTATTCATTGTATCCAAACTTCAGTTTCCCTATCTGATTCGCGGCATTCTCTTGTACATCTGTTTGTCGCTCGACAGAGCTCATTAGAGAAGTATTGTGGGTCGTATAGTCTCAAACTTCTTCAGTTTTTGAATCAGGGGTTAGGGTCATCATCATCATCGTACAGCGAAATGCAGTGAACTGAACTTCACTGATCGCTGCCAAAATCCCAATGCATACAAGGTTCGTGGTAAAATCTAAGGTGGACAGAGATTGGATTTATTTTGATGGAGGGAGAAGAAGGTGAGCCACTATGGTCAACACAAAGTACGCAATCGAACTCTGCATGCATGCCGTTTCAAGCATTCTGACCTGATGAGAAACGACAACAAGAACGCCACTGCTGCCGGATCCTTCAATGTCTCCAACCAACCAGTTGTGGAGTCTTTCGGACCCCAACCTGGAAGGCGAGAGACACCTAATGGCTCTGTGCATTTCTTCATACCTCGTCTCCACGTCATCTGTTGACCTCCACGTGGTTTCCTCCGGCCCGGATTAGCCACAGAGAATAAAGCGCGG